ATCTCGCTTTATGGAAACTCAGCCAAATCAAAAGAGGAGAAATAAAAGGGGGGCCTTTCCCCCACGTCCCCCTCAAGGGCCTTATAAGGGACCAACCTGGCTGCTGAGAGGGGTCTGGGGAGGGGGAAGGTCCTGGGAATGGGGCAGGACCAGCCCTTCCCCGGGGCCGCCCACCCTCCGTGGGAGCGTGTGCGTGAGAGAGTCACAGAGGATGTGCGTGTGCATGATGGCGTGTCTGAGGAAGTATGCACTGGCGTGAGAGAGGCGGTGTGTGTGAGAATATGTTGGCGTGAGTGTGACGGTGTGAGAATGTCTTGTGTGACCAATGCACACGTGTGAGCGTTCAGGACGACGTGAGGGTAGGGGCATGAGTGTGTGTGAGTGTGAGAGCAAGAGTGTGTGAGCGTGTGAGAGCCGGGGGTGGGGGGTTGGCAGGCGTCCTGAGCAGGGGCTCCAAGGTCAAGAGCCAGGCTCTGGGTGTGAATTCTGACTGGGTTCCCCGCCCCCATCCCGGGAGCTCACCGGCCCCCAGTGGGCCAGTCCGATCTCTGAGCCTCGGACGATGATGCGGGAATCCTGCTCCTGGGTGTCATGACTCGTCAATGAGATCACGCACATTGAGCTTCTAATCTAATTCATGGGACACAGGAAGTACTCGACCAAAGGCTGCCGTTGTCCTCCGTGTATCAGTCACGGTCAGGCTGGGCCCTGTGGTGTCCCAGAGGACCGGGGAAGTAAACGAATGATGTGCTAATCCAGGCTGGGAGGGCCCAGAGGAAGGGGACTTGGGGGCCCTCCAAGGCAGGTGATCTGTATGCTGGGAAGGTGACCTGTGTGCTAGAAGGAGCTAGATTCTGTGGACAGAGCGGGGCCTGGCCCTGTGCTCACGGCCTGCCCTCCAACTCTGGGCACACGAGGACTGTGCACGGCCTGATTCCCTGCCTGTGGCTAAGTGAGCGTCTTGAGTCTCAGGCAAGATGCTCATTAGTGAAAAGTTCGAAAATACACAGAAACACAAAGGAGAGCAAAGTGCCCCAGATCCCAGCACCCAGGAGCAGCCACCACTAACATAGTATGTGGCCCTCAACAGCGAGCCCTGCTTAGGCACCCATGCATACATGGGTACACATACAAACACCACTTTTCCCTCAGTGGGAATCATATAGTACCTACTATTCTCTGACTCGCTTTGTTGAACTGCTGTAGGGCAGAATCTTGTGTGAAGGGTGCTGGCTATTACCACTGTCGGCTGGACAATTAGAGTCTAAACTTCTCCCCTTGTATTTATTAACAGTTTTTCATCCCTTGAGACCCACTCGTGCATGTCCTTTGCCTATTTTTCTGGCAGTGTTTTTGCTTTCTTCTTGTTGATTTTTATAGTTCTTTATATATTAAGGTTATCCCTCTCTGTACATTGGACAGGCAGAGGGACTTCCAAACTCCCTGGGGCAGGGGCAGAGCCAGCCAGAGTCTGAGCATTGGGTGTTTGGCTCCAGAACCCCCAACCTGCCTGGGAATCCTGGAATTCGGTGGCAGAAAGTGGCTAGGCTGGCAGGGCAGGGAGAGGCAGTGGCAAGGAAAGAAGAGAGAAGGTTCAGAACTTAAATCAGGGGCTCTGAGTGACAGAGGCTTAATGGGAGACAGATGGAGGAAACAAGGTTGCCCTTGCTGACAGGAGGGAGGTCAGGGGTCAAGGAGTTTTCTAAAGACAGGAGCCTGGGTGACAGGCAGGCGACAGGGCCTGGCTCCACAGTGTGCTGCCCAGGGGCTGTGACAGAGCAGGGAGCAGGGGTCAGCCTCTTACTCCTGCTTGCGCAGACCCTCTCAGGCCCACACCCAGAGGAGCTGTGGGACACTCCAACCCTGAAGTCCAGATGTAGGGTAGAGCACCCCACCTCCAGGCCTCAGTTGGGAGTCTCAATCTAGCCGTGCAACATTGGGCAAGCCTCCAAACCTCTCTGAGCCTGTTTCCACGTTTGAAAAATAGTATAATACCATCATTTACTAATGGGGTTTATTGAGATTAGCCCAGTGCTGGACACATCAGAAAGGCTCAGTAAAGAAAAGCTAACTCATCACTGTTTCTTTACTGGCTACAAGACAATTAGAGTTTTCTTGTTGGCAGAGCCCACCAGCGACATCAAGGACCTCTTCATTGGCTTCGAGACTCTCAGAGCTGAAGGGCCTTCAGGTAACAGGGGAGGAACTGAGACTCGGAGACCAGAAGGGACCTGCCGGGGTCACCCATCCGAGCTGTCTTAACTGTGTCCTCCAAAGACACATGTTCAAGTCCTAGCCTCTGGTACTTTTGACTGTGATCTCATTTGGAAATAGGGTTTTTTGTTGTTGTTTTGTTTTGTTTTTGCAAATATAATCAAGTTAAAATGAATTCCTACCAGATTAGGATGGGTCCTAAATCCCATGACTGGTGTCAGTTAGGAAGGACAAGGAGGGGCGCCTGGGTGGCTCAGTGGGTTAAGGCCTCTGCCTTCGGCTTGGGTCATGATCTCAGGGTCCTGGGATCCTGAGAGCGTCTGGCTCTCTGCCCAGCGGGGAGCCTGCTTTCCCTTCTCTCTCTGCCTGCCTCTCTGCCTATGTCATCTCTCTCTCTCTGTCAAATAAATAAATAAAATCTTAAAAAAAAAAAAAAAAAAAGAAAGGACGGACAAGGAGATTCGGACAGAGACACAGACACAGGGAGGAAGGGCAGGTGAATACTGAGGGGCACAGAAATGGGAGTGGAACTATCACAAGCCAAGGAAAGCCTGGGGCCCCCGGAAGCTGGCAGAGGCAAGAAAGGAACTTTCCCTAGGGTCTTTGCACCAAGCTTAGTCGCTGCCTGTCGACACTTCCATTTCAGACTTCCGGCTCCCAGAACTGGGAGGGAATCCATTTCTGTTGTTTCCAGCCGGCTGGTCTGTGATGCTTTGTTATGACAGCCTTAGGAAACGAGTGGAGCCATGCAGAAACAAGCCTCAGCCCAGGTGGTACCCCCAGGTCTGTCCTGGACCCCATTCTAAACAGGCTTCCTCCAGTTACTCACCACGTGCCCAGAGGCGCCCCAGTCCCCTGAATCAAATGGGAAGGGCTGAGAAGCCCCTTGGGTTGCCTGTTGGCTGCTACACCACTCAGGACCTTGGGATCGAGAAGCAGGGTGTGGACCCTTAAAATAGGGGTAGACATGCCCAAGCATCCCCTCCAGGGTAACCCTGGGGAGACTGAGACATACTGAAGCAAGTGCCCCATTCTGATACTCGGTGTTGCCAGATGGGAGTTTGGGCCCCGGGTACCCAATCTTCTGATTTTACAAGATAAAATGGAAAGCTCCATATCAGTGTGGGCAGAATTTCCCAATGTCACTCAAGAAGACACCCCTTGGGGGATCCGGGTGGCTTAGTTAAGTATCTGCCTTGGACTCAGGTCATGATCTCAAGGTATTGGGATGGAGCCTTGCATCAGACTCCCTGCTCAGCCAGGAATCTGCTTCTCCCTTTCCCTCTGCCCCTCACCCTGCTTATGCTCTCTCTCTCTCTCTCTCTCTCAAATAAATACAATCTTAAAAAAAAAAAAAAAAAAAAAAAAGAAGAAGGAAGGAGATAAAGGAAAGGGGGAAGAAAAGGAAGAAGACATTTCTTTCCTGGAGTGAGAACCCAGGCAGGCATGTACTGGGAGCCATGGACTGGGGGGTCTGCAGTCCCTTCTGCGGAGCCCAAGCTGCCCACCCACCCCTCCTTCTGGCCCTTCTAGGCAGTAGAGGCAGAGGCAAAAAGGTATTTTGAGTGCCCGGTGGGGATTTTTATAGCTTGTCATTTGATCTGCAGACAACCTTGTAAACTTAACAACAATAACAGCCAGCAATGAATTATGCAGCCCCTGCTGCCCGCTGGCCCCTGCTGCCCCCCTAGAGCCAGACCTGGGGGGACTGCTTTGGATTGGCTTTCTTGGTGGATCTGTTCTGCTCTTGGTGGGGGAGCTGAACAGACACATCGGATTGTCTTCAAATGCCTTTCTAGACCTTTTCTCCTTCACTCAACAGCTCTCATCTCTGGCAGGTGCCAGATGGGAGAGACTTCCCAAGGGCGCATGGAGTGGGGCGGTGGGGGGCGGGGAGGAGGTCAAGGCGCGATGCCAATGCTGGGACCTCCACGCCTCTTCAGAAAGGACTTTCCAGAATCATGAAGACATCAGGGCTCCGATGTGGGGACTCGAGGTGGTTGAGGTTCCAGTGGATGGCTAAGGAACGATGCCTAAACCCCAGAGGGGCCCCAGGCTTGGGTTCCTTCCTTGTAGACTCCACGTCCCTGACACTAACAGAGCTCTTAAGCCAAGATCTTGGGTGGGTGCGATTACCCCCGTTTTACGGATGAGTAAATTACAGTTTTTTGAGTCCATCAAGGCAGAAAAGTGGAAGGCGCTGGCAGCCCGCAGGGCCAGGAGCTCCAGGGGACAGAGAGTAAGGAATTGCCCCCGCCGCCTAGGGAGCTGGTGGGCGTCCACTCAATGTGGGGGTAGGCGAGAGCCAGGCGAAGCCGGAAGGAGTCCGGGTCGGATCCGAATCCAGGGAGCTCAGCAGCTCCTGGGGTTCGAGTCACCTCCACCGCCCGGGGAACTCGGACAGAGGCCGGCGGAGCTCGGACGGCGCCCAGCGGCCGCGGGCGGGATCGCAGGGCGGAGCAGGGCCGGGCCGGGCCCGGGCCCGGGCTGGCAGAGACGGGCCCGCCTTGGGCCGGGATCGGGTTTGCCAGGGTGGTCTGCGCCCTCCACTCCCCCGGGGCCGGCCTCCGGGTTACCCACAGCTCACTCTGGGGGCGCGCCGCGGTCCTCCGACCCCATAGGGGGCGCTGTCGCCATCGGTGGTTTCCCCCGGCCGGCGCGGGCCGGAAGTGCTAGGGTCACTTCCGGCGCGGAGAAGAGGGGCGGGCGGTGGGGCGCGGGGGCTGGACCAGCAGAAGCCGGGTCAAGCCCGTGGCCTCCGAAAAGCGCTCCGTCTGCTTCTCGGCCTTTCCCAAAGGTGCGGGCGCCTTGCCGCGCCCCAGGCCGCCGCGATGCCGTTCCTGCACGGCTTCCGGAGGATCATCTTCGAGTACCAGCCGCTGGTGGATGCGATTCTGGGCTCCCTGGGGATCCAGGACCCCGAGCGGCAGGAGCCCCTGGACGGGTAACTAGCTTCCTTGCCGCGGGCGGGCCGAGCTGGCGCTGCTTCCCTTGAATTGTCACCACAAGCGTGGTGGGGGTGGGGGTGGCTGTGTCCCCAGTGGACAGGTGAAGGGGCAGGCGGAGGCTGGAGTTGGGTTGCTTTGAGCGGGAGCCCCTGCACCCCGCCCAAATCTTGCCTTTTACAGGGCGGAGGGTGCTCCAGGCCCGGTCAGAGGCCGGGAGGGTGGAGTGCGGGCAGGGCCGCCGGCCTCGGTGCCCCACCCAGTGCCCAGCGTGCCTGCTGCGGGTTGCAAGGGAGCAGGGTGGAGTCTGCGAGGGCCTCGGTTTTTACCCCAGAACAGTGCGACGATGAGCTCTGTAGCCGACTTTGCATTTGACGACAAGAACAGGTGTATCCCCGCACCTGTGGGAAGGGTGTTCAGGGTTACAGCAGTGAGCTAAACAAAACCCCCAGCGTCGGCGATGCTTATGCTTCAGAGAGACATGAGCGTGAGTCAGGTGTATGTACAGTCGGTGTCATGGAGGTAAGAGCAGAGGAAAGCGGAGGCAGGGCTGTGTGTCTGGGATCCGTGGGAATTTCAGAGGCAGTGGGTACTATGCGTGTCTCTAGGGACTTCGGTGGAAACAGGCTTGCTTCATCACTGCTCTGTTCACTTGGAGGCGTGTTCTGAAAACAGCGTAAGGTGTTTCCTTCACTTGGAGGCTGTTCTGGGGCTGCGAACAGGGCAGGAAAGCGGGTGCTACATGCCCTTTTGTAGTTCCAGAATTTTTGCTTTGTATCCATGGTGCCCTGGGCATTCTCCCGGGCTGGGGAAAGAGATGGAATCCTGCCCAAGCAGTAAGGATGGCATCTTGATCCCTGTAATTGAAGGGTTGCAGACAGGTGAGGCTAAGGGCAGTGGGAAGCATTGGTGAGGAAGGGAAGCCTCCTCCAGAGGAGGAGGTGGCGGCCTTTGAAGGAGCTGCGACCAGGTTCACGGAGCTGTCTGTGGGCCTGAGCTTTAGGGGAAAGCCACAGAAGTTTTGGAGGTCACTGCTGGCGGGCAGGTGGGGTGGGGGCTGGGGCGTGAAGGGCCATGTGTGCGCTCAGCCTTCTGGGGACCGGGAGGTTAAGCGTCTCTGAGTGTGAGTAGGGGCAGGAGGGCCTGGGGGTTGCCTGGTCTGGTCTGGCTGCCCTCGGCAGCTCAGGGATGCTCATTGTCAGGGGAGGGGGTGTCAGTGTCCGCTTCCTGCTCTGGGCTGCAACGGTTCCCTTCAGGCCCAGCAGCACAGCTGTGTGAGGCTTTGTGCCCGAGCTAGGGGCCAGATTGTCTGGGCAACTTGGGAGGAGGCTAGAGACAGCCCCAGTTCTTTCTTAGCAACCCGAGGAGTCAGCTTGAGTTAAAAGATGCAGCTTGCTCTCTTGCAACCACAGGCCTTTTCCAGAGACTTTCTGCCCCACAGAACCAGGGCCCTACCTTGGGAGGGGGGTGATGACAGCAGGAGACCACCCACCCACAGGGTGCCCAGGCTAGCTGGTCCCACAGCTGCCCCTGCTACCCCCCACCAACCGACCCACCCCTCTGCTGCCCCAGGCCCGGTTATGTTGCCAGCGAGGAGAGCCGAATCCTTGTTCTCACTGAGCTGCTGGAGAGAAAGGCCCACTCTCCATTTTACCAGGAAGGCGTGAGCAGTGCCCTGCTGAGGATGGCGGAGCTGGGGCTGACCCGGGCGGCCGCCGTTCTCCTGCGCAGCGGGGCCAGCCTCAACTTCGAAGGTCAGTTGGAGCCCAGAGGGGCTACGGAGGGACACGTGGCTTAAAGTGTGGCTCTGCCTTTCTTGTTCTCTTGGGAGCTGCTTCCCTTATTTCCTCCGTGGGTGGTGACTGAAGAACCCCATCCCCCTGTGGGCTTTTGAGGGGCTCTGACCCCCCTGGTCCGAGAGAAAATTGGTCGCTGCCTCCACCATGTGATTAATCAGCAAACTTTCCCAGCTAAATCTCTGCTTCTGTGTACGTGAAAATGCGGCTGCTGGCACTGTGCCCAGAGCTCAGGGAGAGCAATTTTCTGCCACTTATTCTGAGCCATCTCGCGTTTCTGCCCATGCCACAGGGAAGGGGACAACACAGAAGCAGCGCTGGGTGTAAATCGTGGCAGGGCGCAGTCGGCTTCTAGGCTGGAGGTGCCAGGGGATGGAGATGGAGCCATTCTCCTTTCCTCTCTGGCTTTCTCACCGGGGAGGGCAGGGTCAGCCGGGAGATGGGCAGGGCTGACTTGTGACCAGTGCGGGTCCTTGAGCTGACACGGGATGTGGCCAGGCCTGCCTCGGCTCCCATGTGAGGACTGGCTCAGAGGCCACTAGGCTCTTGGAGGGCAGAGGAGGTGAGGGGCGGGGCTGTTCTGAAGTCTGTCATTTGGAGACTGGCTTTGAGAACGTGGCTGTTACTGCCCAGCTTCAGGAGCCGTCAATTGGGGTCCCTCTCCCAGCAGCCTGAGCAGAGGCACCCAGTCTTATGGTTCTGTTTTACAGAAGAGACTCAAGTCCAGACAGAGGGGCTGCCTGTCCCCCGGGACCCTGCCCCATGTCTGACTCCAGTGCCTGTGCTCTGGCTCCTGGTGGAAATGGCTCTGTCCTGACCCCTCATGGTGCCAGAAGCCTGGGTCCCCTGTGCTGGGAGGGCTGGGGCTGAGCCGGAGGCCAGGTGGAGACAGGCAGGACTGACACAAGCCATGTCTGTGCCTTCAGACCCTGTCACGTACTACACGGCCCTGCACATTGCCGTCCTGCGAAACCAGCCGGACATGGTGGAGCTGCTGGTGCGCCACGGGGCTGACATTAACCGGAGGGACCGGGTAAGAGCCGGGTCTGGCCCACTCAGAAGCAGGGATGTGGTGGGGTGGCCGTGAGCGGCCTCCCAGGCCCGCAGGTCCCCAGGCCTACTGTGCTGTGCTTTCTTGGCTCAGATCCATGAGAGCAGCCCCTTGGACCTGGCCAGTGAGGAGCCCGAGCGCCTGCCCTGCCTGCAGCGCCTCCTGGACCTCGGAGCAGATGTCAATGCGGCTGACAAGCATGGTGGGTGCCTTCCCCCGGGAAAGCAGGCTGCCTCGGGAGGGAGAGCCAGAGCCCCCCAAGAGGGTAACTAGGCCTGATGACACAGCGCAGCCAGGCCCATAGGTGCCTTTTGCTGACCTGCAGAGGCTTTCAGGAAGTGATGCAGCCGTTGGCCCCACGCCAGCCCCCTGAGGTCTGTCTGTAGGGGGAAGTAGGGTGTGCATGTGGCCAGATCTCTGGGAGGGTGAGCCACTTCTTCTTGGCAAAGACTCAGCCCGGATCTCAGGTAGCGTCTGAGTGTCCTGAAAAATCCCACCTCTTCTGCCCATTCTGCTCCTGGTTTTGTGTGGTTAGAAAGAAGACCAACCGCCAATCACCTTCAGCCTCGGCTGAAAGGTCGATCATTTTTAAAGTTCACTTTCGGGGGGCACCTGGCTGGCTCAGTCAGTAGAACACACAACTCTTGATCTCAGAGTTACAAGTTCAAGCCCCACGTTGGGTGTAGAGAGGACTTAAAAATAAAATCCTTGACAACAACAAAAAAATGAAGTTCACTTTCTCATCCTGAGTGGCTTCCTCTGCACCTCTGGGGTTGTCCTGACCTCGGCTTCCTGGTCCCCACTCCCCCTCCTCCTCTTCCTTCTGTAGGAAAGACCGCTCTGCTCCACGCCTTGGCCAGCAGCGACGGCGTGCAGATCTACAACACTGAGAACATCCGGCTCCTGCTGGAAGGAGGTGAGGCTCGCCTGTGGGCCGCTCCCAGGCCTCTCCCTCCCCTCCCCCCATTACACAGGTGGCCTTCCTTTGCAGGGGTTTAAGACCTCCTGCCATCTTCTCTTTTCCTGACTGGCTCTCGCAGGGGCAGATGTCAAGGCCACCACCAAAGATGGGGACACGGTGTTCACCTGCATCATCTTCCTGCTTGGGGAGACCGTGGGAGGGGACAAAGAGGAGGCCCAGATGATCAGCCGCTTCTGCTTCCAAGTCACACAGCTGCTGCTGGCGCACGGGGCCGACCCCAGCGAGTGCCCGGCCCACGAGTCCCTCACACACATCTGCCTCAAGGGCTTCAAACTGCACTTCCCGCTCCTGCGCTTCTTGCTGGAGTCCGGAGCTGCCTATAACTGCTCGCTGCACGGGGCGTCCTGCTGGTCCGGCTTCCACATCATCTTTGAGAGGCTCTGCTCCCACCCGGGCTGTGCGGAAGACGACAGCCACGTGGACCTCCTGCGCAAAGCCGAGACCGTCCTGGATCTCATGGTGACCAATTCCCAGAAACTTCAGCTGCCTGAAAACTTCGATATCCATCCCGTGGGCAGCCTGGCAGAAAAGATCCAGGCCCTTCACTTCTCCCTGAGGCAGCTGGAGAGCTACCCTCCATCCCTCAAGCACCTGTGTCGCGTCTACATCCGGCTCTATCTTCAGCCCTGGCCCGTGGATGTGAAGGTCAAAGCCCTGCCTCTGCCCGACAGGCTGAAGTGGTACCTCCTTAGTGAGCACAGCGGTACCACTGACGAGGACATCTGACCACCCCCGGACCGAGAGAGCAGGGTCTGCGCGGCTCAGCCTGCTGGCGGATTTTGGCACCTGCGGCAGCCTTAGGGGAGAACCTTCTGGCCTTCCGTCGGAAGGTAGAGGTTGGGAGATGAAACTTGATCCTACTGTGTACCAGGAAAGCCAGGTGGAGCCCAGCAGCCCACAGTCACTGCGGTGGGAAGGGGCCCTGCTTCTGCAGGGCGACTGCTCCCTTTCTGTTTGGCAGAACCCCCCCCCCCCCCAAGTCTCAACAACGCTGAAAAGGGACTGGGTTTAGACTTGGGACGAGTGTACACCCTGTTCTTCTGCAGGGAGCATCACGCAGGGTAGCTCTCTCGGTCCTCTGAGAGCCGCAGGAAGCTGGTCTGTCTTGCATGGGGCCCCACTGAAGCCAGAGGACGTGTGCTGGGCCTGTGGGGGCGCAACCCCGCTGGGTCCCATCACTCCCGTCTCTCCCCACGCTAGATTATTAGGTCACTTGGAGAAGTGCTGCCGGTGGGCTAGGGAGAAGGCTAAGCTGACCCTGCCGCCTTTGGCCGCTGTGGGGACAGGTTACCCATGGCCTGGCCCAAGGCACGGGACTGGAATCCGGTGGCAGCTCGGTCTGTGCCAAACCTGGGATCTCAGGGGACGTGCCTTTCGCTGAAAAGCAATCCCGTGTGACCAGGGACAGTCCTTTTCAAAATGTCTCGTGAGGGGTTCATCTGATGATGAAAGCTACTAATACTGCAAGCTGACTGCGGTCCATGCCACACCTTCACGAAGCCAGTTCCGTCTCGTGGGTCCTTGTGAATTGTGTGGATGCTGGGGAGGCGAGCTGAGGCAACTAAAGGATATGTTATACAGTAAAATCCTGCTCTTGGCCTTCAAGGTCCTCGTATGACATTTTGGCCCCCTCCCCGCCCTTCCCCAGCCTAGGACCAAGGCTCCCACTGAGAAGAGCTGAGAGGCATGAGGGGACGGCAGCATCTAGTGGGGACAGTTTCCAAATAGCACCGCACTGCAGCCCCAGTAAAGAAGAGCACCAGTCCAGACCGGCCAGGGCCTTCCCAGCACAGGAGTCACCCTTTTATTTTTTGATGAAAATGTTCACCGAGGAGGAGCTGTAAGGCACAGCCAAGAATGAAGCCGCAGACTCCCTCGCTGGAGACCACGGTGACGATCACGTCAGGGACACCAGGGCTCATCACCAAATAGGCCTCAGCACAGGGTCGCCCCCAGCAGCTGCAGGCTCCATCGCCCGGCTCCTCGCCTCCCCCCGAGGGGAAAAAGTCCCAACAACCGAGAGTTCTCTTCCTCTTAAGGCACCCAGGCCTGTGGCTGGAAGGCTGGGTGGTGGAAAGGGAGAGCCAGAAAATCTCCGCTTCTGAGGGGATCACTGTATTCCCACATGGGGAGCACCAGGGACCCTGGAGTCCCGCGGTCTGCACTGTCCGGTCTCCACCTCTCATGGCAGCAGAGCTGGGCTGCAGCCTCAGTGCTCCGGTCAGGGGCGCCCCTCCCCACTGGGTCCCATTAGGCCTTTTGAAAAAGAGTCTGGCGGCGGGCGGCAAACAGGTGTATTTGGCAGTCTCGGTCCATATGCCCAGACCATCGCTGGGGAGCCTCTGGGTCTTGCCCGGCTGCCAGCCCCCCACCCCACACTGGTCCTTTTCTTCTGCCAGGCCCTGCTTATCTCAGGGCCAAGCTATAGACGTGGTAGATCTCATCAGGGAGGTTCTCCTGGCGCTCTTGGGCTAGGAGGCTGAGGCCCGCGCTGCGGACGATCCTGTGGACCACCTCGAGGTCCCGGCACACGCTGCTGTCCACGTCATCCAGGATCACACCCTCCTGCGCCATGTTGTCTTTGATGACAATGATGCCGTTGGGGCGCAGACCCTGCTTACAACGCCGCAGGAACTCAGCCAGGTGCTGATCAGTCAGGTGGCCTGGGGACAGCAGAGGCTGGGGTCACCAGGGAGGGAGTGGAGCCAAGCACACACACTCCACTGGCGTGTCTCTCGATCTCTGCTCCGACTTACCAAGCTCTGTCTAAACACATGGGGCCTCCCCAGCGCTGGGCAGCCCAGAGATGCTTACCAAGTCCCATTCTGTGTACGAGGAAGCCAGCTCAGAAGTCACTCACCCAAGGGCTGTCACAAAGCACAAGCTGGGACCGCACCCTGTCTGGGTGACTTCTGGGCCCTGTCTGACACCTACGCTCCAGCCATCCCCCCTGCCCTGAGGCCTGGATTAGGGGTTCTTACCAACCCGTTCCTTCCCTAATTAGAACTCCAGACCGGCTCTGAGGGACCACAAAGGACAGGGCCAGACCCAGCAGGGCTGCGGTGTCTGCTGTGGAGTGGGTGGCCAACTGCGGGTACGGTGGCCTGCCCGCCAGGTCAGCGGCCAGGGAAGAGCACCCTGCGTGTGCTGCGGGGCTGAGCGGGTGCAGGATGGGGCGGCAAGGCATGGCTCCCTCGCTGTGAACAGTGGGGATGGCCAAGGCTTCACTTTCTCCTCTTATTAAAAAACACTTTTAAAACTCTGTCCACGTTCTCTGAATGCAGTTATTGGTTGTTTACATTTTTTCAACAAAAAACTGCACCTGAGTGGGTCATAACAGTACTGACAGAGCCCAGAAGGCGAGCCCGAGGAGGATTTGGAGAAACCCCCGCGTCCCGTGTGCTGCAGGAGCGCTGGCCGGCGGCCTCCACGGACCCGGAACCGGCCTCTGCAGCGGGGGGCATGCGGGAGGTCTGTGGAAGGCCAGAGGGCCGCGGAAAGCTCACCTATCACCCACTGGATCCAGATGACATCGTAGGAGCTGGGCTCGGGGCTGAAGTCCTGGAGGCCACAGCAGAAGTAGTTCCTCACCCTCTTGCCCTCCTCTCCCAGGTATGTCCTGGCTTTAACCAGAAAGTCTTCCGTCACGTCCACCATGTCCACCACTCTGAAGAGTGGCAGCAGCAGCCTCTTGGTGATCCTACCTATGCCGGCTCCGCAGTCCAGGGCGCAGGAGGTCCCCGTCTTGTTTGGGCCTTCCTGAGAAGCAGGGAAGGCAGAGGCTCAGTAGGGAAGGCTCAGAAAGCCCGAGAAGGGGGCTGTTCCTCCCAAGCTTCCAGTTACTCAAGTCAGGAGTGGGCACAGGCCGGGGGCTGGCACGGAGGTCGCCCATGGGTAGGACCACAGACATTCCCGTCCTGGGCCACACGTTCCTAAAATGCAAGCCAACAGCCACTTAAAGGGGATTAACGAACAGGTGCACTGATCTCTCACGACGCCCCACTAAAACCAGAGGATGAACAGAAATGAAGCAGTGAGAAAACAGGCAGTGGTGATTTCCACCGATCTGAGAAGGCCGCAGACAGCGGGTGGGGAGACCCCCGCAGCGTGAGGGGAAGCACTAGCCTCTGATGCTACACGCCAGCCTGGCACAGGGGGCAGAGCAGGGGAGGAACTAGGAGCCTGCCCTCCGCAGAAGAGCCGGCGCCCACGGCCCAACAGCCCGCAAACACGGCAAGACCGTGAAGGAGGCACCCCTGACAGATCTGAAGTTAGAGGAAGCCTCCATTCTGGTCCCGGGAGACCCGGCACAGCGGCCAGCTCCCCCACGTGGCAAGCCTGAGACAGAGGCGCCCGTCCGCACGCCACGCCACGCCACCCCACCCCACCCCACCCTCAAGGCCTGGGGGGCTGACACCAACCAAGCACCCAAGGCCCCGCGATGGCTCATGTAAAAGGTGGCGCCCTGTGCAGACCAGGCCAGGCCACCAGGGCCACGTCCTCTGCTGCTGGACGGCGCGCCAGACCTGCCTACCCTCAAAAACCTCTGCAGGAACTTCCGGGAGCTGCTGATGTCGATGCTGGAGATGTGGCCGTACCCCCCGAGCATGCCGTCCACGGTGGGCGGGACTTCCTTCCAGTACGTCTTGGCCTTCGAATAGAACTGTTTCTCGTCTTCTATCACTTCACTTGTCATGCTGTCACCAGCCAAGGCAGCTCAGGCGCCAAACAGCAGCAGCTGAACAACGAAAATGAGCAAATCAGCCAGGTCGAGGGCGCCAGTCTCACCCCATGCTTCACAAGGTCACACAACCCTGCCTGATGCAGAGAAATGTCCGGTGTCCCCAAAACAGCTTCTATCCCTTGGATGACGGGGCCTCCTGTCTTTCGTATTCAAGTCATTCTGCAAAGTGACCTTTGTATCAGAGGAGGGGACCCAGAGTCCTGGGCTTCTAGTCCTTTCCTTATTGGACACGACACCTGACCTGAAGGCTTCTAACTCTAAAGTATAGAGAACCCCCAATTGACACTTGAGGAAATGGAGCAGGAAACCCCAGGCTCCTACCGCGGATGCTCCGCCTGATGCTGGGAGGGGTCTGGGGAGCCCACTCGCCTCCTGCTCACTCGTGAGCACAGAATGGAGCTCGCTGTGGGGTCTGGTCCTTGGTTAGCAACGTGCCGGGACTGGGTACCAGGCACTGTGCCAGGAGGCAGGCAGACAGCTCCACACACACACTGGCAACCGTTCGGGGCCACAGACATGTACAAGATGCCAGCACAGCCCAGCCAGAGGAAGCGCTCCCCTGCGGAGTCAAGGAAGGCATCCCCGAGGAGGTTGCCCATCAGCTGAAATGAAGGACGAGGAAGAGCTCACTAAGCCAACGGGGAGCGCCCACTCCCTCCAACAGGCGTGAAAGGCACACAGAGAGCACCGGTGACTGGAAACACGGGGTGGGGGAAGGGGACACATTCGGGATTAGACTCCCCGCTAAAGAGCAGTGAGCTGGAACTACTCTAGGGTTAGCAGGAAGTGACAAGAGACGTGTGTTTCTGCAAGACCGTCGGCAGCTGTGGGGGCTCTGGGGCAACAGTGAAAGCAGACACAAGAGGGTGTTACCATGACAGGTGGAGGGGCAGCGACAACGCAGGAGCCAAGGCCTGGGGGAGGGGGAGGGCCTGGCAGCTGCACACCCAGCCAGCCCGGCTGCATCTCTGCCCTGGGGCACCGGCCCCACAGCACCATCCCACCGCAGGAGCTGTCCTAGTTGCCCCGAGGCTTTGCTGAGATACCATCCAACCCTCAGGGAGCTTCCAGTCCAGTGGGAGCCAGAAACGAGTGGCGCCAACTAAAACACAAGGCAGAAAGGGTGAGGACGCCCACTGAGCCCAA